TAAATAAATTAGTATATAGTTTTAAATTATAAATTGCCTTCAATCTACTTATATTGAACAATTAAGAAACTACTATTATAGAATCTTTAACTTTTATCTATTAAAAATATTAATTTAAGGTTGTAAAATTTATTAATTGGGTTAAGATAGTTACTAAGGAATATTATAATTCTAAGTATTTTCTAATAATATTTAAAGTAGGTAATAAAATTTATTTGTATTTTAGGAAAGGTTATTATTTACCCGGAAGCCCGAAGAAGAATCAGTTAGTAAAATAAATAAGTCCCTACTATATTTTCGAAAGAGTAGGCTTATTAGCCTATAAATTTAATTTACCTAGAATTTAGTGTATCTATGCTATTATATTTGTAGTATATTTTTATAAATTAATATAAAGCCCGGATTTATTTAATTGCGAAATTTCGCTACTATTACTAATTAAAGTAGATAGTTAAGAGGAATAGGAAATCGAAAATCTTGTTACTAGAAGTTAAAGTCTATTAAATATATAGTATTTAGTTAAATAGACCGGATATTAAAATAAAAATTATATTTAGGAGTTGTATAGTAAGTTTATGAGGAATTCGAAGGAATTAATAAAAGAATTCAATATAAAATACCTATTAGAATTACTATTCTATAGTAATTATAGGAGGGTAATTTAGCGCATTGGAAGAATTTCTAATTGTTTAAAGTATTAGAATTAATAAAGAGAGTAATAACTTTTTCGCTAAAAAAGGGGGAGGTTACTAGAAACTATAAGGGTTTAAAAATCTTTCCTTTATTTTGAATTTTATTTATTATTTCTTTATTATATATTTTTATAAACGGTTATATTTTCCGTATTTTTTATTAGAATTTCTTAAATTGTATTTAGAAATATATTTAAGCAAAGTAAGTCTATTACTAATAGTATATAAAATAATATACAATATATTACTTATAGTTTTAATTAAAACCCTTTCTATTTTAATTAGGTAGGTACGTACAGTTATACGAAGGTAGTAGTATTTATAATTATATATAGTAAATAGCCCCGGTAGGTAGGTACTAGTAAAGAAAGAGTTTTAGTACGTATATATACAACTGTTAAAAGAATTAAAAATATTTAACTACTTTTAAACTCTCCTTCTTACTCTAATAATTTTATTATATCCTATTCTATCCCTATACTATTTAATTTTACTATAGTTTCTATTATATAATAATTTTATTAAATTAATTATTATTTATTACTTTCTTTATTCTACTTTTACTAAATTATACTTTTAATATAATAATATAGCCGACGTTAATATAGAATCCCCGCTGCCTATTAATAATGTAATTACAATTCTTAATAATTAGATTAATAATTCTAATTATAACGGTAATTTATATAGTTTTACCGTAGACCGGCAATTCGCTCTACAATTTCTAAAGTACAATTTTAAGTTCGGCGTATTAGTTAATACGGTAAAATATTTTAACTATCATATAATTAATAGAATTACTAGCAAAATTGTTAGTTTAGGAAACGATAATATATATATTGTACTTCCTAATTTCATAGCTAATTTTATTGAATAAATAAATATAATTTAATTTAAATAATTCTTTAATTATATTTACTATAAATATATTATTAATACAAATAATAATTTTAATTAAAACTATAGCGTTTATAATCTATTTAATCGTCTTCCCGCTAAGTCCTTCCAATTTACTTAAAGCGTTCCTGTTTATAACCCTAAGAAAATAGATAATAGAAGACGTTTAATACCAATTATAACTACCAATTACCTCTTTATATAGTACGAAAATAAGTTATACTCTATATTTTATAATACTATTAAGCGTACGAGCGAATTAATTAATATAGATTCGGCAATTTTGTACGCTATTAATAGCAATTTTGCTTACCTTATATCCGTACTCTTATTAATTATACTCCTTTAGGATTTAATTCCTAATAGTAGTAATAGAACCTAGTAGGAATAGGATTTTAATACTATTATTAAATTTTATAATATTAAAATTTGGAAGTTGTATATTAAAGAAACGTTTAATTTAATTTCCATAATTACTATTAAGTATAGTAATATAACCTTTAGAAGAGGATATATAGAGGAATTAATTATTGTTAATTAATGTTTTTATAACCGCCTACAGATTTTTTACTATAATATATATCCTAATAATTATATTATTAGAAGTAGCGATATTAATTTTATTAATATTTAGGAAATCTAAAAAATCGCTTAATTAATTAATAAAGTTCGTAAAGCCTTATAATTACCGATTAGAGCTATTCTTATTGTAATTCGTATTAAAATTCCGGCTACTAAAGTAACTCCGAAAAAGATATACAAAATTCCGATTTAGGTTATATAATTGTATTCGGCTACTATTAATAGAAATAATAATAAAAGAAAAGTATATCCAACTTTCGCTAGTACCTTCGCTAATTATAATTAATATTACGCTAATTTTAGTATTGAAATTAATAAAGAATTATATATTAAAATCGAAAAAGTTATTAAAGTATATATAAAGAATAAAGAAGAGTATAAATATTGATTTACTAACTCTTACTCTTTCTTATAGAGTAAATTTATTTACAATATTAAAATTACTTTTAATTTGGCCTTTAATAAAAAAAGTTAGGGAAATATTAATTTTATTAACTATATCCCTTTAAAAATAACCTTACTAATTATCTAGTATTTTAATTATAATATTAGCCTCTCCGAGTAAATTAGTAGTTTATTAGGAAGATTAGGCTACCTTTATTGTACTTAAGTAGCGCTAGTTAAATTAATTTTAAATAAATTTCTAATAATTAAGAAAATAATTGACTATATTATTAAAATTAGTAAGGAACCCGTTATACCTATTAATTTTATTTCTTATAAAGAGATTAAAAATATATTAAAATATACTTCTAATATACAATCTATAGTACTAAAGGTATTAAATATATATTAGAGTTAAATTATATAAAAGATATAGATAGAATTAATAATTCTCCGTACTAAATTTAGAGAAACGTAGGAGTTTTATATTAAACGCTTCCCTCCGACTTCGTTTACTAATAGAAACTATATATTTAATACTATTCCTAGTATTACTATTCCTTATAGCGTTTATTCTAGTAATCTTTTACTACTATATATACCCGGTTTAACTAACTTATTTAATAAGTTCTACTCTATAATAGTTTATTCGGATTCTTACTTCAGTTCTTTACCTACTACCTACTCCCCTCGCTACAATTACCTTCCTAATACTTAAGAGTAGGAGGACTCTCTACTAGGACGTAAATATTCTTATTAAAATATATATTATATAGATAAAAATAAGGAGATAGATAATAAGGAGTTTAATAAACGTTCGGTATATTATAATTATAATTACTAAAGGATTATTACTAGGTTATTAAATTGGGTACTCTATTCGGAGGGTCGTACGCTTTACGTATTTAGTAATTAATTTAAATATAAATTACTAAATAAAAGTTCTAATAAATAATAAAATCTTTTATATATATAGTTAGGTTTAATAATATTTCGTAAATAAGTAAATACTCTTCTCCTTTTGTCAAGGGGGAGATATTATAGGGTATTTTTAGTAGATACCTAAATATTCTATCTTATTATAATAATTATTTATTAGAGTATATAGTTTATTATATAAGAATATTCGTCCCGTCAACCTCTATTAAAGTTAACGGATTATTAATTAATATTATACTAACCTAACGTCTATTTTGCTTATACTTAGTGAAGTCGTATGCGAGGTCCTAGGTTGAGGTTTGCGATAGCTCTTGTCTTTAGCTTCCTTTAATAAGACTATCGTTAATCGTTATATACTATTGCTCTATCCAGTAACTAGTTGCTTACTCTATTATTCTTTATTGTTATTACTTGTAAAGTACAACATCGCGTAATAGGTTAGTACTAACAATTTTCTGGATGGGAAAATGTAATAGAAAAGTCCGTGCGATAACATTTAGCTAGTACGTGCGGAATTTACGTAGGGACCGCCCGCAAAAATCCTTAACACACTAACCGCACTTTTTAGCGTCCCAGCTCGTGTAGGTATATAGAGATTTGGCAACGGGCCGCCAAAGCTATATAGGTAGAGGTACCCACCTAACCCAATTACCCAAGTTGCCTGCCAATTGGCAGCTGTTGCTTCCCGTCACACCTGCAGTAGCAAATAACACGAGAAGACTGCAGTGGACGAAAACACAAACATGCATGAATTCACGGCTCGGGAGAACTTGACAATGTTCACCACCCAAAGCACTGCACGTAGTTCTTTCCCATTGACGACGCATAAAGGAGAAGCATTGGGGAACATGAGAACCAACCTCTATCCCTGAACTCTCACATCTCTCAACATCTTTCCGTTGATAAAATGCTTCTTTCCCATCTTCCCGTCAACCCAGCTCTTCAATAACGGTCTTCGCCTGCAGTGGATCCTTGCAGACAGTGGACGCTTCTCCAGTTCCTGCATTGTCCTGCAATTCAACGCGGAAACATTGGATCACGTAAACAGACCGGGCCTCCACCTTCTGTTGTTTTTCTAGACGGGCCTCGCCGTTTTGGGGAATCATCTTTTCACGGTGCGACCATTAACTAGGCGGCTTTTTACTGAACGATCTTTACGTCTTTGAGGTTGGGTTGTCGAAATATACAACGCCGGCGCAGGCTCCAGGGTCTAGAAGCTCCAAGCACCACGCCGTCGCCATCACCACCCACGGGGCTTTGCGGAGACGCCGTTTGGCGACTGGGTCCGCGACTCTAGGGCGAATAGCATCACCGGATTCCAGCTGAGATCCGGGGCACCCCATGCCCTACAACCAGGGGGAAAGCACCCATCCTCGCCAATTAAACAGTACGGTTCCATGACAGGACCGAGATGAGGTCCCCTGTCCTGGCACTTCCACCACCAAGCAGTTGTTGAAGCTTTCCTCTCTCTCGGGGCTTTCTGGTCCTCTCTTTTTCCGAGTGTAAATGCCCTCGTTCTCCTCCACCGCCGCGCTCCGGTCCGCCCTACCACTTCTCATCACCAGCTCCATCTCGGCCTGCGCCAACGCTCTTTTACTTCGTGATAGCCATCCGTTGAACATCCACACGGCTACCGTCGTCGCCAGAAGAACGACTCGCTTTCCCACCGCAACAATTACAAGCACAGCCCTCCGACAGGCCTTCCGGCAGCTTTGCGATCGACATCGAACCACTCGCACTCCTCGCCGCCCCTGCGCCCCCACCATCACTCCCTATCGTCCACCAAACATCAACACAACAACAGCAACAGCAACAGCAACAGCAACAGCACATTCGTTTATCATTACTGCTACTATCCATCAGAAAGCCAGATATTCAGGGCCAATTCTCAGCAAACTTCGACGGGACGAGAATTCCCTCGTCATGGCACACATAATATCACCTCAGAGCAGCTTTGGTCAGATCACAATGCAGTCGGCCTCTCTTCCCCGCCGAACGTCTTCTTTGCGATCTCGCGCTCGCCGTGGGATAAGTACAGATGAAACCGAGGCTCGACACATACCGGACGAAGCCATTGCCACAGCTCTTGCCCATGCCGACGACCTGACTGAAAACCGCTCTACACGGTCAGCTTCCACAGCGTCCCGAACCACACATCGTCTTTCCCTGACACTTCCGATCGCGCCGCCGAACCCTAATCCCTCGCGACCCATACCGACCTCGACGACCACCGCCTCTTTTCCATCAACCCCTTTAGACACCCCAGCACTAACGTCGCCCGCCGATATCAATGACTTTATCACCGCCATTGCAGCACAGGAGCGCCGTGTCCTGGAGCTCCGCGAAGAGCTTTCTCGTGCCGAGTCGGATTTGGCCAAGCTGAAAAAGCAGTGGGCGACCTATGAAGCTTACAAGAAACGAGGCGAAAGGCCGTTGCGTTCCGTAGGTTTGGTCCCGACTTTCCAAGATGAGGAGGCAACAAAAAGGGCCGTGGAACTCGACAGAAGGAAAGCATTGCTACAAAGCCTACAAAACCAAAATCAACTACTTCCCGAGAATGGGCGCCGTCGTGTTTTTCAAGGAGGACATGCACGCACACTATCATTGCTATCACCTACAAAACCAAGTAGTGACTTCCCTGGACGCGGTGATGGATCAGAAAATAGTCGCAATGTTGCTTTCAGCCCGACATATCGGCCAAAACATCAATCTTGGGCCCCCCAAACCTCTTCACAAACTGTTGGGGTCAAAGGAATTGCCCAGGACCTCAGGATGGGATTGTGGACTTTCATGGAAGATCTGAGGCAAGCTACCGTAGGAGACGAACCCGTCACCGGACAGGGCATGTACATGAGAGGCGCGGACGGCAAGTTGAGTATGATGCCTATGCCGAAGAGCGGCACGGCTTCCTCTAGCCACACGGGAGGGCAAGATGGATTCAGGGCACCCGGTCTGAACACCCCGAGGAACCGATCTTCTACAGCATCCGACTGGGCACCCGCCGTGCCCGTATCACGATCCACCAGCCCTCCAAAGAAAACACAGGATTCGACGGCCGATGAGTCGCTGAAATCTCCGTCGCGACCAGCCCCAGCACTGATGCGATCCAAAACAGATGCATCCAGGTCACCCAAGCGATTTTCTTGGACCCCCCTGACGATGGACTCGGTGGACGACAACGATTGGTCAAACTGGGAACCTACAGGTACTGGAACATCTGCAAGATGGAGTGGAACCACGGTCAACGGCGACATCATTCCATCAACAACCTCCGAAAAGCGAACTGAGAACGACAAATCTGTGTAAGGGCAATCCATTATTTTCTCTTACTCTCTCCCATCCTACATGGGTACCATATCCAGTCGTATGTATACATGTCCCAGTTTGTTTTAACAGGGCCATCAAATCCACCAGAAACACGAGCCAATACATATCACTTCTTCTATGAGTAGTGGATTCATGATTCATATATGGCATATCATATCTTCTTCTGCCACGCAGCACAACATATTCAAAAATTTGAAGGTGTGTCCCATCACACACAATTCCTCCATCCCCTACGACCGGCTAATTTTTTTGCTTCTCGCATAAAGAAGAAGAAACAGAAGTCCTCCAGTTCGGGCAAGCAACTCGTTTCGGCCGCCTCCGGCCACTCTCCTGCACTAGTGACTACGTCGACCAATACCATGCTTGAGGATCCCTCCCCACCCGTCCTCACCAAACTCAGGCCGGACAACTTGAATAAAACAGCCGATTACTGCACAAAGGAGTGGGAGAAGAGGTCGGCGCTGCCATGAATGCACAAGCAGCCTCAGCTCCCGGGCCGCCTATGCCATTGACACCTCGATGTCAAAAAAAGGGCAGGTAATCAGGCCACTGCGACCAATCGAAACGCTTGCCCAAGACCACGACGATCACGACGATGACACGAGAATCTCCCAATTGTTAATATCAAAACGAGTATCGCTTGAGTGTAGCAACAACCAGGGAGGTATATCTACGAGTATGAAGCCGTGTAAACATCATCCAGTATACTTACGACTACAAAACTGCCAATCGAATCTTAATCACGCTCTCGCCTTTCAACCTATTAACGAAATTTACGGAACCGGAGCTGGGACAAGACTCGTTGGACTGATTGAAGTAAGGATCGTGAACCACCACGACTGCCACCAACAAAACATCCCGAAGGATACAAACCCATGCTCATGCTCGCGATTCACGTTCCAACCAATTCGAAAACAGTCATAGCCGGGCGGAACCCGGCAGTTTTGCCCCAGGAAGAAAGAAACAGCAAGGAGGAAGGGGGAAAGGGTACACAGCAGAGCCTCGGGGCCGGTGGGGAGGGAAGCGCGGCGGGCGACAGACTCAGTATCAACCCAGTAATTGGGTTGGGATCCGACCAAAGTTCGCCAGATCGGATGGCAACCATGATATTAGATTTGTTGTGTTGGGAATATCTGGATGTAGGAGGATGGATGAAATGTGAATCTCCATGTTGCTATCTATCTTATCTCGGTCTCTGCGCGCCCGAATTTCTTGTATCACCACCGCTGCCTAGATACTGCAACGATGGATATGACGAGCACATAGAATGAGATCAATAACGATGTTGACGAGTGCAACATCACTCACTTACTCAGCCCAGAGACTGCTCGAGCCCTTTAACTACCGTGATTAGAGAGGGCTATATACAGGGTTGAATCAAGTCAGAAGGGGCAAGCAAGGGTATATACATACAATCAAGTGATTCAAGCACGGTTGCTAGAGCTGAGCAAGTCGAAAACTCGTCCAAGAGGAATTAATAGCATGGTGTTCGAAAACGAGGGTCCCGCGACAAGTGAGCAACGTTCACAACACTACTTCAACGGCGACGACGAACTAATAGTGAACAAAACAAAATCAACTAAAACAGTCTTTCATCATCATCACCCTCATAAACCGGTTTCATGTACACCCTCCTCCCGTTTCAATAAACCCCCAGACAGACAGTCCATGCATCATGCTTGCTTCTTGCTTCCATCTATGCTAACTCGACTACTGTATATCCCGGCGCTCGTTTACTCATCAATGACAGACGCGAACTTGTCCAGCATCTGCTGCTGTATCGCCTCGTACTATAGCACACATAAGTGGTTAGCCTTATACCATTTGACAAACGTCGAGAAACAAGGGCTTAGAAAAGAGATATACATACCTTCTTGCAAATCTTCTCTTGTCCTTCACTAGGGACCTCGAACTTGAGACTCTTCAACTGGGCTTGCAGATCCTGGGTGGCCTCGCGCACCTTGTTCCAGTTCTGGCCCTGAGCAATTGCCTTTTGTGCCTCGTCGTGGAATCCCATCATGAGCTTCATCATCCACTCCGTCTTCCAAATAGGACAGAACTGGTCGTAGTCTGAGTAGCCGTTTTGCTGGAGGAAGTCCTCCTTGATGAGCGTTGCCATGTCGAGCGTAATCTTGTCGGGATCCGAGAGCGCCGACTTGCCAACCAGCTGGACGACCTGGTCGAGTTCTTCGCTGTCGGAAAGGAGCTGGCGGATGCGGTCGCGGAGGCGGGGGAAGTCGGGGTACTCCCTCTCATACCACTTGTCGAGAATGGTGAGGTACTTGCTGTAACTGACGGAGGTGTTGATGGACGGGAAGTGCTTGCGCTGTGCAAGCTTCTTGTCGAGACCCCAGAAGACCTGCACGATACCGAGGGTGGCAGAAGTGACGGGATCAGAGAAATCACCACCGGGGGGAGAGACAGCACCAACGATGCTAACACTACCCTCGCGCGGCGGGCTACCAAGAGCTTGGACCTTGCCGGCGCGTTCGTAGAAGGAGGCGAGCTTGGCACCAAGGTAAGCGGGGAAACCCTGATCAGCCGGCATTTCTCCTAGACGACCCGAAATTTCTCTGAGCGCCTCAGCCCAACGGGACGAAGAGTCAGCCATCATGGCGACGTTCATGCCCTGATCTCTGAAGTACTCGGCGACTGTGATACCCGTGTAGATGGAGGCCTCACGAGCGGCGACGGGCATGTTGGAGGTGTTGGCGATGAGGGTCGTGCGCTTCATGATGGGCTCCTTACGGCCGTCGACCTCGATAGACAGCTCGGGGAAATCCTTCAAGACTTCAGCCATCTCGTTACCGCGCTCACCACAACCGACGTATACGATAACGTCACTGTTGGAGAACTTGGAGACGGACTGAGAAATGACAGTCTTGCCGCAGCCGAAAGCACCAGGAATAGCAACAGTACCACCCTGGACCGAGGGGAAGAGAGCGTCGAGCACACGCTGGCCGACAAGGAAAGGCTGGTTGGCAGAATGCTTCTCGGCCGCAGGGCGCGGTACACGGACAGGCCAGGTCTGCATCATGGGATATTCGGTCTTCTTGCCATCGAACTCGACCTCGAGGATCTTCTCCTCAACGGTGTACTCGCCCTTCTCGGCGATCCTAGTGATGGTACCACGGGCCCGGGGAGGGAGGAGAATCTTGTGGACAGAGATAAACGAGTTCTCGTAGACAGTACCCCAGACGTCACCACCCGCGATGTGATCGCCAACCTTCATGGTCGGTGTGAACTCCCATTTCTTCTTGCGGTCCAGCGCAGGGGTGGCAATACCGCGGGGAATGTAAATGCTGTTGGAAGCCTCGGCAATCTTCTCGAGGGGGCGCTGAATGCCATCGTAAATGTTGTTTAGGAGACCAGGGCCGAGTTCGACAGAGAGAGGCTTGCCGGTCCGTCGTACGGGATCGCCAACCATGACACCAGCTATCGAGGGACTGGTTAGCCATCTAGTGCAAGGATGGAGTGACTCGAGATTGTCAGCCTTACCCGTCTCTTCGTATACTTGAATTGTTGCTTGGTCGCCATTGATACGAATGACTTCACCAACTAGTTGATCGTGGCCGACTTTAACCTAATTCCAGTCTCAGCTCAGGCACCCCACTAGTGGCCAAGGACAACTGTATAACCATACCAACTCATACATAGCAACACCAATCATGTCCTCGGCGACAACGACGGGGCTTTGGGCCTATGGGTTAGCGAGCTGGTCGAGAGACATGGAGGTGGGTTGTGATGGGGAACGCACCCGGACACCGAGTAGATCTTGCCTGCGAGCTATTAGTAAATCATGAACCTTACGTCTAGTTTAGCAGTTGCACGAAATCGCAAACTGAACACTTACCGGTATGGATGCCATCAACCTCGGCGCCATTTTGTTGCTATTCAGAGGCCATGTCAGCAGGCAAAGCCGTAGATGAGGTCAAATAGAAGATATGCGATGGTGTGGTGGTGGTTTGCAACATGAAGCAACGCGTTGTCGAGAAGCGGGGGATGATGGGGCGAGGCTTACGGGAGCCATCTTGGGCGAAAGGGCAATTGGCGCGGAGGTAGGTTTCAGAGGAGGTCGAGGAGAATCCGAGGTAAGAATGACTGTAGGTATATGTTTATGCGCGGGTCGCTCGGGTGATGGGCGGGCAGGCGTATCGAGCTGCAATGTGGGTGTTGAGGGATTCGAGGACGGTTTGGTTGGTGATGGTGGCAGTGAGAGGTTGGAAGCTTGGTCAAGCAGAGCCGTTGAATTTGGGATGGTGGTGACGAGGTAAGGCACCCCAGGCCGCAGCCGCAGCCGCCCGCCGCAGTGGGAGGACAGCGGCAGCTGCTCCCCATTTTCCTACCTCTACCTACTACTATGTAGCCCACGGCAGCTTACCTACCTCTAGGTACCTATCCCCATCAGGTCGCTCTCCAGCCATGACCCCGCCGATCCCATCACTTGTGGAGGCTGCTCCCACTGTGCTCTCCCCTGCTACAAACTCCTGCAAGTAGCCCCTAGCATTGCTTCTGTCATTCCCACTCGCCCAGAGCTTTCCTAGGGTTAGGGTAAGTAATCTGGTTTGGACAGAGCTCAGGTACGGTGGTGGTAGAGGTATTGTGAGGTTGACCCGAGGTCGGCAAATTGGTAAAGGAATTTCGGAACAAGTCTCGTCACACAGATGTTTCGTTTTATCGCGACATGGCAAACAGCCTCCGGGGCAATGACGCATTTGAAAGATGACGGGTTGAAGTAAACAAGCTCCCCCTGTTGTCGTGAGGACCCCTGTTCAGCCAAGTAAAAAAAAGGAGGGAACCGCTGTCCAATGTCCGACATTCCCACTTCATCAAGAACCCAGCATGTCCATGAAGCAGACTTCACTTGATGTATCGCAGATCAGCATGGCCGCACTTAGCAGTAATGGTTATGGTCTAGAGGTAGGTAGCATAATTGTATTGATATCGATATTTTAAGTGGCCCTGTTACGCGACCTGTTATCATTAACGGGCAACCCATCCACCAACTAAGCTCTATGTCTCCGTTGGAATAATATTTCTGACTTCTTCCCCTTTTACCTGTGACGGTCAACATCATGTGAATCAAGTCGGGCCTATATAGGCTAGCGTCATGATACTGAAAGGGGGCGACCGCCTAACCTGATTTCTCACACCTTCAAGGCCGAGAGCTGAGTATAACCGACGAAAAGGCTATAACCTTAAACCTATCACCCAGAATCTTCCACGCCTGTTTCATTCGTTTTGAGGAGCCAAATGTGTTCAACCTTCCCAGATGATAGCCAGATACCGTCCTTGTAATACCGAAACCCTAACATATCCTCTAACAAACGCCAGAAACACCATGAAAAGGCACACCCAAGTCCGACCAAGGCAAGTGGCACCCCACGTAGCGAAGTAGAGAAAAGCATATGAAAACCCATTTTCAAGAACCGTCCGAGTCCCTTCATCCGCCAATTTTAAGGCCTGTCCCAAACAAAATAAACCTTTCGAAAAGTTCACACGGTATATCAGGAAGGTTGCTGCGAGTTTGGACAGGTGCCTGCAACTACCCCCCAAACGGCCATGGAAGAGAAATAAGAACGAACCCAAAGGATGATAACCAAAGCGTGGCAAGGTAGTCCGGGATTAATTGTCCGCTCGTGAGGAGAATATAAGCGTAACCAGGAAATAAGTGGAACTCATAAGAGGCAAAGGAAGGAGACACCAGCCCGTTTTGTTGCCCATATTACACCGACCAGTCTTTGACACCATCCATCCTTCACCACCTTGCTTTGCGTCGTACCCATTCAATCAACCTCCACCATCACGAGGAACGCTCAGAATCCGAAGCATCCGGAGTCGTGACAGTCGTTACTGCTATATCAAGCGCATCGTGCGTTGTTCGATCAGTTGAGGAACCCCTTGCATGCTGCTGTTCCGCACAAGCAGGGGATACGATCCGTGCTTCCGATCTCGCGCTCGAACTTGTAGTCGTACGTCAACTCTTCGTCTATAACACGCCGCGTTAGCTCAAACTGTCACTGCATCTCATGCCACTTTCTACCATAAAAGACTTACTCTGAGCAATGTCGCGCAGCGCATAGATAACGATGCGCTTGCTCCCTTCCACTTTGATGATCTTGGCTGTACAATTGGGCATGCAGCTATGGTTGATGAATCGGGCAATACCGCCCTTCTTCGTCGCATCAATAACGGTGTTATCGTCGATGCGGAAGAGGTAGCTGCTACCGATGCCGCTCTTGAGGTATCTGGCTTCGCGAAGTTCGGCAATCTGCTGTCGGACTTCCTCACCAACGTACTCGATGATCATGTC